AGATGAATGGATGGATGATGGATGGATGGATGATGGATGGATGGATGATGGATGGATGGATGATGGATGGATGATGGATGGATGATGGATGGATGGATGATGGATGGATGGATGATGGATGGATGGATGATGGATGGATGATGGATGGATGATGGATGGATGGATGATGGATGGATGGATGATGGATGGATGGATGATGGATGGATGATGGATGGATGGATGATGGATGGATGAAGGATGGATGATGGATGGATGGATTTAAAGCAGCAGGTTTCTGTCCTCCAGCAGAAACTGAAACAATAAAACAACAATTTAACAATTTCAGAGGAAAAAAATGATTTTTCTCTGATCTTCAGAGAATTTGATTCACATGATCAAAACTCAAATAAAAAAATTATTTTTAGGATATTTTTCACATGGTCTCTTCAAACGGACCAGAACCTCTTCAGAACCTCCTGAGAGGACGGACAAATAAAAATCATGGTTCTGAAAGAAGCAGCTTCGATGAAGCGATGAAGAGGAGGAGGAAGAGGCCGAGCTCATCTCTCCAGTCAGTCATTAATAATTCAGAACCTCTGCATGTCCAGCCGGGCCCAGAACCCAGAACCGAGCCCAAAATTTGCTTCAAACAGACAGAACTGGAACCCTGAGGGAGTCCGGTTCAGATACAAATATTTACATTTAAAGACAAACTCTTGGATTAAATGCTAAAATACTGAGTTCATCTGAGATTAAAACAGAAAAAACAAACAATCTTAAATTATGTGTCTCTGTTTTGCACTAAAATCAGATTATCACATGTTACAGTGAGAAACAATGTTAAAAATATTAAACTGAATTTGTTTTGATTCAAACCAGCAGGACTTCTGCTTCCTGTTTTTTATCAGGAGTTCATTAGAAACAAAATGAAAAGTCATGTCTGCAGTTTCCATCAAACCTCCGGCTGAATGTTCCTGATGTCATCCTTTAATCTATAATTTAAATCTGAAACGCTCCTCTCATGTTTCAGTATAATCCCTGCATCACTTCAGACTCATCACTTCTACCAACATCAAAAACCCCATTGTTCTCCACAGATTAGTCATGAACTCTGGGATCATTTCAAACAACAGAGACTAGAGGATTAGAGACGACATGTTGGAGGAACCAACGTCAGTTTTCTTCTCTGAAACCAGTCAGAACACGGGACAAAACCAGGCTTTTATTTTGTAGTTTTATTCTGAAACTCCAGGTTTCACGTCTGCAGGAAGGGTCCGTGGGGGCGGCCATGATGGAAACAAAGGAGGAAGTGAAGCATGCTGGGTAATGTAGAAGAATCTGCTGAGTCACTGGTTGTGGTGGTGAACAGGGGCAGCACACAGCAGAGGTTCAGGCAGAACTGCAGAGTAAAAAGTAAGCCTAAGACCAGAACTATTGACCAACTTTCTGCAAACCCTCCAGACCCGTTAAACCTCCTGATCCAGTTCCATTTCTTCAGGTTTTACTTCCAACCAGTCTTTTATAAAACGTAACGATGTAAAAACCTGAGAAGTGGATCCAAACCCTGCAGAACAGCTGGAGCATTTCAGTAAAACATCCTGATTATTCATGTGTTTGTTGCTCCGACCATCTTTCATCTTCCTAAATCAAAGCAGACACTTGTGTGTCAACAGAAGGAGATCTCTCCCAGCGTTTCCTCTTCAATTATTCAGAACCCTTTCAGGTATTCATGGGAGCGTGCAGCTCATTACTCCTGTCCGCTCATTTAATCCAGTTCAGCTTTAAACACTGAAGTTCACGCTGGATTCACTGGTGGTCGAGCAGAACCTGAAGGAGCAGAGAGTTTCTGTTTGCTCTGAGAGTCGAGGACAGGAAGAGACGAGGGCAAAGGAGTTCCAACTAAACCAGAACATTTACTCCATTCTTTGCATCTTAGTTAAAAACAAACAGATATTAAACAGAAAATACTTTGGGACAGGTTTGAGACATGTTTGGGACATGTTTGAGGCAGGTTTGAGACAGGTTTGGAACAGGTTTGGGACATGTTTGGGACAGTTTTGAGGCAGGTTTGAGGCAGGTTTGAGACAGGTTTGGGACAGATTTGGGACAGGTTTGGGACAGGTTTGAGACAGGTTTGAGACAGGTTTGAGGCAGGTTTGAGACAGGTTTGAGGCAGGTTTGAGACAGGTTTGAGGCAGGTTTAAGACAGGTTTGGGATATGTTTGAGACATGTTTGGGACAGGTTTGAGGCAGGTTTGAGACATGTTTGGGACAGGTTTGAGACAGGTTTGGGACAGGTTTGGGACATGTTTGAGGCAGGTTTGGGACAGGTTTGAGACAGGTTTGGGACAGGTTTGGGACATGTTTGAGGCAGGTTTGGGACAGGTTTGAGACAGGTTTGGGGCAGGTTTGTGAAACTAAGGCTCTGAGACGATTTCAAAACTGTCTTCAGAATTTCTCCAACATGTTAAAAAGCTGTCAGCTATTACCACATCAGACTTTCATGCATTGATTTGTTTTAATCTTCATCATTTCTCATCATGACGTGTAAAAGGCTGCAGACGGGTCAGTTGGATCAGTGTTAAAATGAAGCAGCTGCATCATCAAACACTTCTGGATGTGAAACTGGCTCGTGGATCAAACAGGATCCTGCAGCTCTGCTCTCAGAGGACACACCTCCTCCTTACAGATAAGAAATGCTCTGACCAAATGTTGATTTATAATTAGAACTGCTCACATTTTATCTTTACACTCGCTGCAGGACCCACAGCCCAGACTAACTGCTGCTGCTCCACAGAGAGCTGAGCTGTGAGGAGAAGCTCTGTGTTCACCTGTCGGTCTGCAGTCCCACCCTCACCTGTCGGTCTGCAGTCCCACCCTCACCTGTCGGTCTGCAGTCCCACCCTCACCTGTCGGTCTGCAGTCCCACCCTCACCTGTCGGTCTGCAGTCCCACCCTCACCTGTCGGTCTGCAGTCCCACCCTCACCTGTGCTCTGAACTCTGGGTACTGACTCTAAACAGATCCCAGACGTCTCCTCAGGGAGGTGTTCTGGACATGTCCAACAAGAGAGGACAGGTCCCAGGACATGATGGACAGATTATGTCTTTCAGCTCCTTTGAGATACCTTGATGTTCTCCAAGAAGAGCTGGAAGAGGATGGATGGATGGATGATGGATGGATGGATGGATGGATGGATGGATGGATGGATGATGGATGGATGGATGGATGGATGGATAGATGATGGATGGATGATGGATGGATGGATGGATGGATGGATGGATGGATGTCAGATGGATGGATGGATGGATGTCAGATGGATGTCAGATGGATGGATGGATGGATGTCAGATGGATGGATGGATGATGATGATGATGATGATGATGATGATGATGATGATGAAGAACAATCATGTATCCTCTGGTCGTTTATAAGATGAACCTCCGTCTCTTCTCTGCTCTGAACCATCAGAACCTTCTCTCCCTGATCCTTTGTTTGTTTGTTTGTTTGTTTGTTTGTTTGTTTGTTTGTTTGTTGACAAACAGCAGCAGCTGCGCGCGCAGCTCCAGCGTCTGAAAACAAAAGAAGAGGTTCTGGTTCTGGTTCTGGTTCGTTGGGTTCCTGTCTCCCCGCGCGGGACTCACCTCCACCATGAAGGTCTTCTCCTCCCCGAGCACCAGAACCCCCCAGAACAAAAGGAGCCCGCAGGTCCAGGAGAACCCGGGGAGCCTCCGGTTTGCTCCTCCGCCTCCTCCTCCTCCTCCTCCTCCTCCGGTCGCCATGGCTGAGTCCCCGAGATCTCCCCCTCCACCTCCTCCGCTTTCTTCCGGGGCTTTCCAGGCTCCTGCTCCCCGCTCCTCACCGGAGGAAGAGCTCCGAGCGCCCGGGCTTCATCCCGCCGCTCCGCGCCGCCTCTCCCGGTTCTGCAGAATCAGGCGGGTCCGTCTCTTCCAGCCGAACTGTTCGGGTCCAGGAGCAGCGGCACAGCTGCACGAGTCGGGCTGAGATACAGCAGGTTTGTCTCCTCCGGGTACCAGTGGGGAGGAGGAGGAGGAGGAGGAGGATGAGGAGGATGAGGAGGAGGAGGATGTTGTTGCAGTGGCGCGTTTCCTCCACAGGAGGCGCTGCTGAGCTGAGATCTGGTTTATTGTTTAAAACTCAAACAGAAAATCAGTCAAAAAACTCAAACTGATGAAATCATTCAGATCAAAAACGAACAAAATAAAAAAATAAAAACTGAGTCTCAGTTGAAGCTATAAAAACCTAAAATATCAGGAGCCAAAGATCAAATTAGCAAAAGAAAAAGATGAAAATATCTTTGATTTTCCTAAAAGTTAAAATGTTTCTGTTTGAAACAAAATCTGATACAAATTAGTTTGATTTAATCCAAAAAATTTAATTAATGTTTGTAAAGTTTTTAATGTTAACTCTGAGGGTCAGTGAGGGCGGGAGAGCATGTAACAAATATATCTTCATCATCGTGTGTGTGTGTGTGTGTGTGTGTGTGTGTGTGT